TTTCAACCAGGTCCGTGCCCTTTTATGGAGAAATGTCATGACCATACTTCGCGAGCCAACTTTGCTCAAAGTTCAACTAACGCAATCCATTGTGAGTGAATCCGATAATCCAGTAGTGATTTGTGGAAAATGAATTTCTTTTTTTTCAGTTTATGGCTGCGCTCACAGGGGTCATCTACCTAAATGACTCATATACGCAAGAAAAGGTAGTAAATATCAATGGATCGCTGTTTCAAATGGTCTCAACTATGGCCTTTATGTTCCAGTTCGCTGTTGTGCATGTAAGTATGATATCAATAGTAGAAACAATGTCTAGTATCTAGATACCTGGATTACTTTATATGGAGACCGATAAGATGGCCTCATTTAAACCGCTGCTGAGAAGCAGCTCTTACGATCCAATCACAGAATAATTTTACTCTAAACTCTCGCCCACTACCGTAATTAATGTTTTGTCACTAGGAAAGAGTACGGTATCGAGCGAAACTTCGGTGTTTAAGTTCTTGGACATGAAGACACATGAGCTGCCTCTTGGGCAACTGCTTGATTATGACCTTCCGATTGTTTTAGAGAAAGGAGCCCAAATATCCAGATTTGCTTGTGACTGCCTTCAAAAGTGGCAATGACTACGAAATTTTTCAGCATTTCTGTTCCGAAATTCATACTTTCTTCCGTGAGTATGGCTCTGGACTCTATAATGTCAGCTCCTACTTCATAGCCAAAAATCTAGCAGAGGTTAGTCATTCAGAATTGACTGCTTTGTGCCAAACTTCAAATCATTACAGCTACCAAATTTTACCTTGTGTGCACTGCTCTTCGGGACAATTCTCTACTGGATGTCACGGCTGACACCGCTTTGGGACACATTCCTTTTCTATCTGCTGGTGGCTGTACTTGTTCAGAATACGACCATATCAATTGGTGAGTTAATAATTAGAGAATCAATGATTACCTGGTCATTGGCCCAAGCAGCACACCATAAGGGATTTATCTATTCAAACAGATCAGGTGTATGTCAAGAGGCGCGATTCTTATTGCCAGCTGGGC